CTCTTCGACCCCATTGCCTATGCTCTCATTAGCCCATCTATCCCCCAATAGCTGTTTATATCTTACCCTAACTGCCTCCTCTTTTAGTTTATAAACCTTCACCCTCTCTTCCCTGATGCTTCTATTCTCCTTGTATCCCATCTACCTTTTACTCTCAGTGTAGCTACAACTAGAAAGTGATCTGATATATCTGTGGCCCCCTCTATAAACATGTACATCCTGAAGTCTATCAACAGTCTTTTATCTACCAATACTAATCCAACAAACTACTGTCATTTCGCCCTACATCATATCGTGTATACTTATTATCCTCTTTTTCTTAAAATATGTATTACCTATAACTAAACACCTTTCTATACAAAGTTCAATCAAAGGGCTCCCATTATCATTTACACTGGCCCCCCAAAACTTACCTACCCACCCTTTCTAAAAGTTTCTCCTACTTTAGCATTCAATCCCCTCCCCCAATTACTCTCTCACTTGGTTCAAAGGCTCCTATTCATTCACTTAAAAATCTCCCAAAATCTCTCTCTCCCCTCTGCATTCCTCTCTTCTCCAGGTGCATACACGCTTATTATGACCCACTTCTCGCATCCAACCTTTACTTTAATCCACATAATTCTTGAATTTACACTTTCATATTCTCTTTTCCCCTTTCCCATAACTGATCATTTAACATTACTGCTCCCCCTTCCTTGCTCTAACTCTCTCAGATACTCCAGATTTAATCCCATTTATTTCCCCCCACTGAAAACTCTCTCCCCCCTTCAGCTTTGTTTCGCTTAGGGCCAGGAAAATCCAACTTCTTTTCATTCATAACATCAGCAATCATCTGTTTTTTGTCATCCGCACTACATCCACGCACTTTTAAAAGCAACCCAGTTTTATAAAGTTTTTCTTCTTCTCTTTTTTAGTAATTGTATACAGGAGAAGGGGTTACTAGCCCATTGCTCCCGGCATTTTAGTCGCCTCATACGACACGCATGGCTTACGGAGGAAAGATTCTTTTCCACTTCCCCATGGACAATAGAAGAAATAAAAAAGAACAAGAGCTATTTAGAAAAAGGAGAAAAACCTAGATGTATGTATATATATATATGCATGTGCGTGTCTGTGAAGTGTGACCAAAGTGTAAGTAGGAGTAGCAAGATATCCCTGTTATCTTAGCGTGTTTATGAGACAGAAAAAGAAACCAGCAATCCTACCATCATGCAAAACAATTACAGGTTTTTGTTTCACAGTCATCTGGCATAGAATCTCAAAACTCCAGCCCGTCGCGTTAGCCACTAGACCAGCTAGCCACAATAAGATTCGTCCAACGAATCTTATTGTGGCTAGCTGGTCTAGTGGCTAACGCGACGGGCTGGAGTTTTGAGACTCTATGACTGCGGGTTCAATCCCGGCCGGGGTATGGTTTGCTCGCTCTCAATTCCAACAATGGACTTGTAAGATCAAGTAAGGTTGTGCTGCCCTCCAGGTATGTTTCAGCTAGGTTAGAGTTTGGGAGCTGTATGCCCCCTGTGGTTTAGTGCTTAGTTTTGATTATAATAATAATAGAGTTTGGGAGTTAGGCTAGGTTAGGATATTTGAATTAAATGTTAGCTAAGGTAGCTTGGTGTTTTAGGCGGTAAGCCTGTTGTCACTAAGGATGTGTCTGGGGATTCAGTTCACATGTGACTGAAGAATTTCCATTACTGTATGAAGCTTAGAGTACTGCAATTCCGGTAACCTCATATGTCTTCATCCTTTCTCTTTTTAACGTGCTTTGTTAAGTACCAAGTGTCTGGGAGTTTATCTCAGTGGTATATTTGTTGTAGCTTTGAAATGTGTATTTAGATTTCATCACAATCCTATAAATAATTTTTTTTCAACAAGTCGGCCGTCTCCCACTGTCATTAAATAAAATTAGAGTATACAGTACTTATTTATGAATACTGTATACAGTACTTATTTATGAATACTGTATGCAGTACATTTATGAATACTGTATACTTTTGAATAGCAAAATTCTAAGATTACTTAAAATTGCACAATTGTTTATTTACGTACAGTGCTATACTTCATAAAAGGGGAATCAACAAAAAGTGCATGATTTATTAGCTATATTTGGTACTGAAAAAAGTACAGTAGTAGTATTTGAAATACTGTAATTTGAAAATTTATTAAACGATTAAAGGCAAAGGGAAAAATCGTAGGGAGGTCTCTTGACCCAAAAGGAACGGGCGCTGCCCTTTTCCCTTTCCCTGGAATCACGAGTACCTCCCTTTCCCCAGGTGGTGTATGAACTCACAAAATTAAGAGTTTTCCATGATTAATAAAAATGCTGATCAGGAAAATCTTACCTATTGGGAGTATTGGTGGAGTTATCAGCTACTGGGGTAACGAGCATCTTTCTCATAAAACAGCCTACAAAGAATGCTATTGTTAATAAAAAACGTCTCTCAGTATACTGAAATTTGGATACATACTCTTCAGCATACTGCAAGTTAGATCAAATTTGTAACACATTTAATTTTATCAACCGTATTTTCACATTCAGACGTCCAATAATGAGAAAAGTAGACACACATCTGGGGAAATTAAATAAAATTGTTTATATTTTTTAATAAAGTTTGGTTTCTTGTCTCCATATAAAACATACATATGAAAATGAAGAACATAACCTTGTGGATGCCCCAGCAGTTAAGAAAGTCAAAAAAATTTAAATTCAGTTTTAGGGGGAACCCTTCAAGGTTTCTTTCCGAGGTGAAAGGCATTTTGTTCTGAGGAATTAGAACTTCCTTTCTTGGATCAAACCTGAAAAACCCCAATCCTCATTTTTCTTATCCAGCGCTACATGACCCTCTCGGATTTAACGCTTAATTTGATTATATTATTCCTTTCTTATCACCTTAAACAGTGGATAAAATTCCTCATTTGTCAAAATCTACTGTGGCGCAATTATATTGTGATGCCTTCCAGCTGCTGTAAATAAGTTTATTCAGGTTTCAGGTACACATAAATACAGTTAGTAAGTTATCATACATAGCAGCATGGTGTAGATTACCCAGTACATGTATAATACAAAAAGTCGAAGTGACTTATATTCACTGGGGTCCTTGGCTGTTGGTAACCCCGCCATTGCTAGTGCTAAAGCCACTGCCCTTATGAAATGTCTTTTTCTGATAGTCCCATTTAATGCAAACTCTTTCCCCTGCTTTGCTAATTACCTGTGGGCCCCCTTCTTTGTTTTTGCTAATGTACCTTCCTCAGCACCACCATCGCTTTCTGCCATTCTTTTTACTTCTACAGTGTGGTGCAATACAACCCTTACGGGTTTACCATTTATCCATGAGCATATTCATAACATAAAAGGGTTCTTAGCCCTCAATGAAAGGTGAGAAAAATTTTGATCAAGGAATTGGTCCTGCCCCCCATCCCTTGGATTAAATCTGATTAACCACCATTTCCTCAGGTGCTGTATAATCCCTTTTGGATTTAGATCTCCACCCATGAAATAAAAATAATAACAGTTTACTATAAATGAATAAAGGGAAAGTTTGACTGCACATACTGATATGTAATTATGGTCTTCTAAAGATATCTTCAATTCTTAACCCAAAGAAAATGTGATGCTAAAATTTCAGTATCAAGGATAAACATTTCCTGGCAAGGCTGGTCTGCATCGAGGCGGATGTTGTCTGGTCGTTGGATGCAAGTTTTCCCAGGAGCTTCTACAGGTAATATATAGTGCCCTTTCCCACTGGAGTGATGAATGATTCAGTTTCAAAACTTCCAAAGTTTCAGTTGGTGAAAATGCTACATTTTCTTTCAGTGCCGGTTTAGGAGTTCCAACTTCTGATGTACCGAGTTCTAAATTCTGCGGACTAATGGATTTGGGATCTTTAAATTGATCTGATTTGGGGGTTTCAACGAGTGGGTTTGTTTGTGCCAGGTTGCAAATCTTGTGAGAGGTCATTTAAAGGAAGCTGCCGATTTACTGATATTTGTGACCACAACGAAAATATTACCCTCTTTGTTATATTTAATACTGATTTCATTTGGGCGTTTGTCAAGCTTTTGTGACTTAATACTTTGCGGTTTTAATTGTAGAGGAAGAGCAGATTGCACACTAGTGGTGGTTGCTTTGGTGTATCTGTTTTTAGTGCCAGTGTGTGCAACGTTGGATGACATTCGGTGGTCTCTGCACGGGTATGTTTGTGTAATAGCCCAGATATGTTTTTCTTTGGGAAATTATATTTACAGAGTTCCTTGAAGTCTTCATTACATACGGGATCCTCATCTACACCAGTACTAATACCCATCTTTGAAGGAGGAGGGACAAGTCTGACAAATTGGTTTCTATACCACTCTTAGCCGATCCCTGCAAATGATCTGGAATTTTACAATCTTCTTGTGATAGGGGATTCTCTGCTGAACTAGTACCCGACAACTTGTATGTGTCTGCAGGAGCAAATTTTTTAAGAAATCTGATGGTTCTAAATGGAAGTGTTTTCTTGGTACTTGTGGTTAATATTTCCGTACCACATAAAAAGGCAAATTTGTTTTTCACATTCTCACTAGGATTAAGAAACCTTGTTGCTCTACTGAAATTTCAGCTCTTTTATACAAGAAGTTAGATGTGAGTAAGAGACTGTGATTTTCCCGAGTGGTAGGACCTATCCCATCATTGGAAGGTTGTTGAAGTTATTCATATACTTCTGAAGTGGGGGTTGGCAGCAATAAATTTCTATGTTGATGATCATTGCTGACTGGAAGATTTAGTTTTATACAATTTAATAGTATTAACCCCAAATCACTATGGTCCTTTTTAAGGACTATTTTCCCTTCTTTAAAAGTTTAAGTTATGGTAATTACTATCAGCATATTCACTCAGGAGTCAGAATAGATCCTTGTTAAATCCCCCATTTGTGTTCTGAATTGGGGAATGCTGAAGTGTTTAGGGAAATGGTTCTCTTTCTTACTTGCGAACTTTGTGAAGACATGTTTTTCTGCTTCTGTCAGCATTGTAACACTGGATTAGAGTTGAGAGTGTCTGATTTTACGTCCTGAATGTACGGTAAGCAATTTTCAATTGGCAGAGTTGACACAAATTTCCTCTTCATCCTTGGACTTGATTTGTCTTTTTCCACTGTGCTCAGGTAAATGAAGAACATCAGCCCAAATAAGGCCTTTTTACTTGCTGGAGAATGTAATTTTCTGTAAGGGAAAAAAAGTATTTCAAAACACGCTCAAATATACAGAGGTGGAATAATGCTTCATTTTCCAAAGAGGTTTCTCTTTTCCCTTTAGATTAGCATAAACAGAAAAATTCACCTTAACAAATATACATTGACCAAACTACTGTAATGCTTGACCACTGCTGTTTGTACTGAAATTTAAAATATCCCTTTAATGTCTAAATAACCTTTTAACACAGTTTCATATTAACAGTAACATCTGGTGTTCATAATCTTTTAATTCATGCTGCTTCACACAAAACAAGTGAATGTTAACTACAGTCATACCAATAATAAATTTTACGAGTTCATGCCCTTCATAAAATATTGTGTAATTTTAAGAGTATGATAAGAGGGTGACATCTTTAATGGTAAGGCATCATCACTCTGGTCCAATATCACACTTTGCCTCCTAAACTGAAATAAAAACAAGGATTCGAATATTAGGAAATACAAAGAAAAGTAAAAATAGTTCTGCTGAATGTAAGGTGCACAAAGACAAAAAAGGGGAGAAAAGGAAAAAAATGTTTCAGTCAAATAAGTCAAATGAACTGAAGGTTATGCATCAAGTTTTGTTTACCTGGAGTTACTGGGAAAAGTTTCGGGGTCAACGCCCCGCGCCGGTCTGTACAGGGCCCCCTGGTGGATCACGCTTGATCAACCAGGGGTTGCTGCTGGCTGCCGCAAACCAACGTACGAGCCACGCCCGGTGATCAGGAAACTGACTTTAGTGCTTGTCCGTGCCAGCTTGAAGAAATGCAGGGGTCTGTTGTAATCCCTTATGTGGGGCTGGGAGCAGTTGAACAGTCTCGGGCCCTGACACTTATTGTATTCTCTTAACGTCTAGTGAACCCCTGCTTTTCATTGGGGGATGGTGCATCGTCTGCCATCTTTTGCTTTGTGTGATGATTTTCGTGTGCAAGTTCGGTACTAGTCCCCCTAGGATTTTAGGTGTAAAATCATGTATCTCCTCCTGCGTTCAGGGGAATACAGTTTAAAAAACTCAAAGGCTCCCAGTAATTGAGGTGTTTATCTCCGTATGCGCGCGTGAAAAATTCTCTTACATTTTCTAGGTCGGCAAAATTTTACCTGCCTTGAAAGGGTGCTGTTGAGTGCAGAATATTCAGCCTGAAGAACAAATGACCTGAAGAGTGTCATCATGGGCTTGGCCTCCCTAGTTTTGAAGGTTCTCATTATCCATCCTGTCATTTTTCTAGCAGATGCGATTGATACAATGTTATGGTCCTTGAAGGTGAGATCCTCCGACATAATCACTCCCAGGTCTTTGACGTTGGTGTTTCGCTCTATTTTGTGGCCAGAATTTGTTTTGTACTCTGATGAAGATTTAATTTCCTCATGTGTGTGTGTACTTGTGTGTGTGTGTGTGTGTGAGTACTCACCTATTTGTGGTTGCAGGGGTCGAGTCACAGCTCCTGGCCCCGCCTCTTCACTGATTGCTACTAGGTCCTCTCTCTCCCTATGTATGGTTCCCGCCTCCACTACTTCACTTTCTAGGCTATTCCACGGCTTGACTACTCTATGACTGAAGAAATACTTCCTAACATCCCTTTGATTCATCTGAGTCTTCAACTTCCAATTGTGACCTCTTGTGTCTGTGTCCCATCTCTGGAACATCCCGTCTTTGTCCACCTCGTCTATTCCGTGCAGTATTTTATATGTCGTTATCATGTCTCCCCTGACCCTCCTGGCCTCCAGTGTCGTCAGGCCGATTTCCCTCAACCTTTCTTCGTAGGACAATCCCCGTAGCTCTGGGACTAGTCTTGTTGCAAACCTTTGCACTTTCTCTAATTTCTTGACGTGCTTGACTAGGTGCGGATTTCAAACTGGTGCTGCATACTCCATTATGGGCCTGACGTAAATGGTATACAGAGTCTTGAACGACTCCTTACTGAGGTATGGGAACGCTATCCGTAGGTTTGCCAGGCGCCCGTATGCTGCAGCAGTTATCTGATTGATGTGCGCGTCAGGAGATATGCTCGGTGTTATACTCACCCCCAGATCTTTTTCCTTGAGTGAGGTTTGCAGACTTTGGCCATCTAAACTATATTGTGTCTGTGTGTGTTTGTATGTGTGTGTGTGTGTGTGTGTGTGTGTGTGTGTGTGTGTGTGTGTGTGTGTGTGTGTGTGTGTGTAAGAGCTAAATAAGGCACGGCAATAATACTGAATGAATAATTCTGGAAAAAAAGAAGGAACATTAAATGTTTAAATTCATTCAAGAATTGTGTGGTTTACAATAAGAGTGGGTAATTGTACCGTATGTTTATACCTTATGGTGTAAGGAATGTAGATGAAAGGTTGCCAGATGTTAGGTAAATGTTTAGGGAATTTTGAACTACATGAGGGAATAACTGTTCAGGAAGATTAATGGGAAAGTGAGAGAGACTGTTATGGAAGATGAAAGTATGAACGTTTGGAGATTTTTTAGATTTTGCCACCGAAGTGGCTAGTTTATTGTGCACCCCATATCCATCCTGTGGACGGTTTACGCGAGAGCACATGGATACACAAAAGGCCTAGGAACTAGGCCCCAAAGGGTTAACAGGAATACATATGGATTTATATCTACATATCTATAGTTCACTTATCTGTTGCAAGCAAATTTAGGAAATTTGCTTAGTATATCTGGTATCTTATTTTCATTAATAAGATATCTTGACATGTCACATAGGTTATTATACTGTCTGTCTCTGTATTTCCAATAAGTGGACAATTAAGCACATAGTTTTCAAGAGAGTGACCATATGCCTGATCACATAATTTACTTTTAAAGTTTGATCATCATCTGTGTGTCTCCCAAACTGCCAGAAGTACTTGTAACCAACCCTAAGCCTGGCCACTACAACATCAGTCAGCTGTTCACATTGCACGTTGCTCAAATCATACTTATCTACGTTCATGTTATCATAGTGGGTTATAGATCTACTCAGGCTTCTAACTGCATTCCTATAACAATCATTTTTATTATTTACTTCTCTCCTAATATTATTCCTAATACTAGACACAGTTATACCAAAGTTATATTCTACATTCTCCTTCTGGGTACTCTTCTTGGCTAATTTTTGAGTATCTATACCTGGCTTCTCCAATGAGCATGTTGTTGGAGTCATTATGAGTCAAGAGCCTTCAATGATGGAGGACTGGGTGAAAATGACAATAAGGGACCATTAACACAAACTCTTATTTGGGACATACTCAGTTAATACAAAATTAGTAAAAAAAATCAGCTTTCGGACTGGAAAACCCTGTATATTAATCCAGGAAAAAATGGTGGCCTGGTGGTTAACGCTCTCGCTTCACACGGTTTGGGGGCCCCTGGGTTCGATTCCCAGCCAGAGTAAAAAACATTGGGCGTTTTTTTCCTTTCCACCTGTTGTTTTATGTTCCCCATCAGTAAAATGGGTACCTGGGTGTTAGTCGACTGGTGTGGGTCGCATCCTGGGACACTGACCTAAGGAGGCCTGGTCACAGACCGGGCCGCGGGGGCGTTGACCCCCGGAACTCTCTCCAGATAAACTGCATTTATGTAAATTTAAAGATATTGTGGAAATTATTTAATTTCCGAAGCTATAGTGCCTCGTTGTGCTCCCGGTTTTCTCGTGTTTTCACGGTCGCTCTTACGTGCTAGAACTTTAATTTGTGTCATCAATCCTATACGATACATCCCTCTAGCGCCTGGAACCAATCTTGGGCGGAAAACATTATATACTGAGTCAAAAAAGGAGAATTAGTGTGCACTGCGTAGCAGAGTTTACTGCCAGAGGGGAATCATAGGCCTGTGTCCCGTGTGGAAAAAAATAATAATAATTGAACTTTTCATGTCAGAGGAAAGAAAGTCTCCCTGATATCATTGAGTATACATAGTGTATAGTGTATACTACAGTGGCCCCCTTTAGTATTTGATGATAAAGGCTAAAGTGTCATTTGAAAAACAGGTGAATTTGTAAATGAAGTGATAAGCCTATGAGGCAGGTGCCAGAAGTCGCCAGAAACTTACCACGGGTCAGCTGTTTTTAATAATTTCCTGGCCTGCTAGTGTACTCGCATATAATCTAGTGATACCAGTGAATAGCAGAATACAGTGTTGTAGTAGAACTAACCAGTATTATAATGGTACTTAGTGGAGTGGAGTGACTTTCATTGTTTCTTTTCTTGAAATACGAGACGTTACTGTGAATTTCATATAACCTGTATTTTACCAGGGGTCGCAATATACACAACGAGAAGCAATTATTACTACAGAAAAAGCGTCCTTCCTCCAAAATTTGCAACCAGTAAAACTATAGTGATAATATAGCATTTATTGCGGTGGAGACGGAAAAAAAAAATAGAAAAGCCAGATTACAGCGATTGATAAACAAGGAGGTGACCGTTCTTTAAATTGTGGGAGCTGCCAGATATCACCGGCTCTTCAACACGCAAGTTATACTTTTGTATCAGTCAAATCACATATTACTCGGGTAGAAAATTTTCCCAGTAGATCCTTCATGTGTTAGCTCAAATCACCGACCAGTATGTTTTAAATAAGTGACCCACTGATCAGAGCAGATCGACTGGTCCGGCCCCTTTGGACTGGTCCGAACCCTTGACTGGCCCGAACCGGACTGGTTTAAACAGTTTCGTTGGACAATAAAGCAGACTGTAAACGGATGGGTTGTAGGCTCCCTTATAAACACAAACATTAAAAATCAGGAACGTGACGGTAAGCTGTCCAATAACAAAAAGAGTTAGAAACAGAAATACAAATAGCTAGAGCTTCATTTAAGGTTATTAATATAATATTCAAGAGGTTGCTAGTAGAATTGCAGTAAATCAACCATTCAAAATCATTATGAAGCTGTGTGTAGCTGTGGTCAGTCAAACAAACGGGCTTCACATGGATAAAAATTTTCATTTTTTGGAAATTGGGGTCACGCCCCCTTTTGCAGATATCCCAGAACAGCTACAAGCAGTATTAAACAG